TGTTGCTCATTCATAAAAATAGTTAAATTTATTTGCTAATCATAGCTACTTGATTAATTTTATTTGTTTTTAAAATTTGATTATGAAACAAATATGATAAAAAAATTATATGGTCAATTATCATATCAATATCAAAATTTTCATGACTAATCTAAATACAAGGTTTTAGAAAATTTACGATTCAGATCATCTAAGTGGGCTTAGTGGTGGTGAGCCCATTAATTAGTTGGAGAGAAGCTCGATCTTTTCTTTTATTTTTTTGTGCCATATATAGGATATTAGTAGGCTAGTAAGTTATATTATAATAAAAAGATCGCAATCGCTCCATCAATTTAAATTCTAAACCTCTGACCTTCTCCCAATGACTACATGGACCACAAGACTAATTGTCTTGTTTTAGCTCGATCCTATTCTCAAACATTACGTACTCATAAATATTTTAAATTTAAATATATGGTATAAATTTAATTAATCACATTTTAAGTAACATCTAAAATGAATATTATCACTATCCAATGGTTGGTATCACTGTATTGTGGGCCCAGTTTGATCATCATGGTAAAGTCTACAAAGTTTTGATCAAATCTTTAGGAAAGACCGTGTTTAACTTCTGATCCATGAACCCATCATATGATCCATTTCCTTTGTTCTTCTTTAATTCAAAGGGGTTAGGGTTTGCACAGTCTCTGGTGTTGCTATTCAAAGTTATATCTTAGGAACCAATCAAACTTGGTGTAGATGTCACACATTTTGTTATTTTGAAAATGTCCACGACAATTTAAAAATTATTTATCTTCGTTTTTCTTCAATTACATGCATTTATACACGCTACGTATACAGTTATTACTAATAATAATATGTAATATGAATTCATATTATGGAGAAGTGAGATGCATTTTCCCACCCCCTAACAGCAAAACCAGCAATGTATGTAACAAACACGCCCATTTGTGTACTCAAACACATTCATATTAGTCAAATTAAACTCAAACTTCAGCCTCGAGATTCTCTTTTCCTTTTCCCTTGCCCTTCCTCTTCCCCTTCCATACCAAAAACAAACATGTATATATTTATAAAGCGCGGGTCTATGGGTCCTACCCAAACACACACCCATAGAAAAAGAGTGAATCGACTTATGTGTCAAATTGTTTAGAGTATATATATATATATATATATAGAAAATGTTTGAGGGTCATAATTTTTAGGGTCATAATGGTTTAAAATTGTCAAAACGACGTCGTTTTGGGTGCAAAATATGTTAAAACGATGTCATTTTGACAGTTTTGAACCATTGTGGCCACAAAAATTGTGGCCCTCTAGCATTGTTGTGTATATATATACTCAAGACATATATAAATACGTTCCTCTCTAGTTTTTATTGCAAAATATATATTATTAGGCATAGTTTGGGAAGTTGGTTTTGGTGGGTTAGGGGCTAAAATAGTCACAAAAAACAAAATAGGCTATTTTAATCACAAAAAATAAAACATCAAATTCAACTCATAATCATTACACTTCTCTCTCACAAAAAAAGTCAAAAAAGTCAAAAAGTCCTTTCCAAACCAGGCTTTTTAGCCCAGGCTAAAATAACCAAAAAGTCAAAAAGGCAACCCACTTCTCAAACGGAGGCTTAGTTATTTATGTTTTAATCATCAAAGAATTAAAAAAAGAAGAAGTAGTATTTAAATATGATATGTCGGTTGATTTTGTTTACATCAGTTTAGATTTTTTCAAAATCAAAATAAACCATAACTTATGAAAAATATATCGGAAATTAAAATTTTTATCGGTCTTGAGCGATCCGTTCAATTACATTGGTTTTTCTTACACCATTATATGAAATGATTAGATATAATTTTTAAGTATTCTTTCATCAAATTTAAGTTAGATAAAAAAATGATAAAAGATGCTCTAACAATACATTTATTTACAAGAACCCACCTTCTTTTCAGTTGATTTGTGCACTTCACAATTTCTTATTTCACATTATTTTTTAGGTAACCGTTATTCTCACTCTACGTTATTCTAAGCACATTTTTTTATTTGTCCTTATTATACATGGTTACATTAATATCTTTGAAATTTTAATTTTTTCAGAGAGTATATTTTGTGTGAAAGGGTATTAGTATAATTATGTATAATAAAGACAAAGAATAAAGTATATTTAGACTAAAGTGAAGTGGAAATAACACTTCACTTTTTTATTGATATATAGACTATTGAATAAAAATAATTATTGAGATATCAAATGAACAAAAATGTAATTCAATTTTTGATATCCGAACAGTAAAATTTTATTCAATTGCTGTGTAAACTGGAATAAAAATGATGATTTGCAAATAGAAACGTTTCATCTGGAGATTTTCTCATTTTGATTATGTGAATTGTTTTATATTCTAGAACATTGCTTGTTGCTTGTTTATAAAAATAATTAAATTTACCTGATAATTATAATTACATGATTAGTTTTATTTGTTTTTTAAGTTTGATTTTGAAACTAATGTGATGAAAATTATATAGTTAAGATTTTCACAAACCTTATATGCTCAGAAATATTTCAAATTTAAATATATAATATAAATTTAATTAATTAATTCTAAAACAAATATTATCATGGCCAGGCCTACAATTGTACGTGGTATTACTATCCAACGGTCGGTATCACTGTATTTTGATCACGAAAATGAGTTGGACCTCCAGTGGGGTGCTGGGTCTCCTCCCATTGGTCAAAAACTTTTTATTTTTTATTTTTCTTCTTCTTTTCCTCCATTGCCAACCCCCCACGTGGAGGTGGGGTTGCCGGGGGTGCCTCCGTACTGGGGTCGGAATCACGGCTCATTTTGATCATAATGGTAAAGTTCACAATGTTTGGGGCTGGCCCTAACTTGCTCAAATGTTTGGGCCCAATTTTAGGAAAGACCGAACTTCAACTTTTGATCCAAGAACCCATCATATGATCCAATCAGACTTGGTGTATATGTCACATATTTTGTTATTTAAAAAAAATGCCTATGACAGTTTGAAAATTGTCTATGTTAAAAAATCGATTAAGACCCTTCACTAGAATAAAAGAACTGCCGGTAAGAATATCTCGGTTTAATTCTCTGTTTTTACTTTGCTGTTTCAGGTTATAACTTTCCTCAATTATATGCATTTGTACACACATTAGGTATGCACCTGTCCCAAGTACATAAGTTTTTAAATATAAGTCATCAAAACTTTTACTATAGGCCCCCAAATTTGGAAGGCTCCCAATTTTTTAATAGTGTAATATAGGTCTATATATATGTTTAGTTTTTTTTTATTTTTTTTATTTTATATATTTTTTTGCTTTTAATATGTTTAGTTGAAACAGGTCAATTGACACAGAAAATGCCTTCCAATTATTGCATATTTTCGGTCGAACTACTAATGTAATGTAAAATCGGAGCAAAAAAACTTATAAGCTAATTTTTTTACTTATTAAAGGATTGTTTGAGGTGTCCTAAATAAGTGTACTTTTTATCTTTTTGGACTAAAAAATTGAGAAAAAAAATATGGATGTTTGGGTCAACTTTTTGACTTTTTATGAAAAAATGTGTATTAAAAAATTATATAAATTAGTGTGTAGGGGAAAATTAAAATTGAGAGTTGTGCAGCCGTAATTTTTGACTTTTGATAAATAGTGATAATTTTTTAACTTTTTGACTTTTTGGCAACTTGCCAAACTTGGCCTAAGAAAAGATATACAGAAAAGTAAAAAAATGATGTGACCTAAATAAACCAATAAGCAGTTTATAAGTCATGTTCTCAAATGAAGCCTGATATAATATTTGGAAATTAGGTTAAAAGTCAATTTTTTGACTTTTTCAAAAAAAAAACCATGCAAAAAAGTAATGTGACTCAAAAAAATTAAAAAGTCAAAAAGCTGATTTTTAATTCAGATGCCAAAATAGATTGTGTGCAAAGAAATTATCACTTTCTTTGTTTTCAATTTCTTTAATTCAATTTTTTGAAAATTAAATTTTTATTTATTTTTTGTTTTTGTTAAATTTTTAACATTTTAAGAATTTTTTTCTTTTTTAAATGCACCCAACCTAAGTGTACCTAAAAAAGTAAAATATTTGTATAAAAATATTTTAAAAAATCAATACATACACAAAAATATGAAAATGTACTGAATTTTCATATTTTGTTTGTATATTTGGTATTTAGTGAATTTTTAAAAGATTTTTTTCCATAAATATTATACTTTTTAATTGATTTATATTATCTAAAAAATAAAAAGTTTAAAATATTTAAAAAATCACTAAAAACAAAAAAAAAATATTAAAAATTTAATTTTCAAAAAACTAAATCAAGGAAATTGAAACCAAATAAGGTTACTCACTTGAATTTTTTTTTTTTTTTAAAAAAAAAAAACCTTTTTCTTGTTAGCAAAGACATGAGATGATTGAAAAAATTAAATATCTACTCCTAAAAAATTAACCTTCCCTCGCTCTCCTCTTTCAATCATTTTTTTTTTAAAATTATAAATAAGTGAAATAGTTTTAAAATAATTATATTGTAGGAACAATTTTTTTTTTTGTGCAAGTCACATAAAAGACTTGTACCACTCACAAAAAAAATTGTACCATACTCACAAGAGACTTAGATTACCATGAAAATGAGATATTATTTTCTCACTGTCCAACTAAAAAGTAATTTTCCTTTTTTTTCTTCAAAACAATTTTTTTTTTTATTTTTCAAAAATGATTAAGAAAGAATTATGTCAAGTACGTCGTAAGAAAGATTAAGATCTCAAAAAGTTAAACAAATAAATTTTCAATAAAAATTATAACTTTTTTTTTAATGTAAAATGCCTCATTTTTAGTTGTCTCTTCAAGCCACAAATGTTCCAAGGCCAGTCCTGCATAGTGAAGTGAGATATGCATTTTCCCACCTTCAAAAGCAAAACCAACAATATTACAAACACACTCATTTTTACACTCAACACATACTCATATCATATTAATCAGTTAAACTCCCTCTTTCCGTTCCATTCCAAAAATCTAAAGGGGGAAATTACAAATCAGTTATACCTTCAAAAAATAATTACATATACATCAAAAAGTTTATGCACTCAATAATTGAAATTATAAAATTTATCATTAATCTGAATTTTTATTTTCAAAATATACACTGATTTTTCTTTTGAGTTTGTATATATATATATATATATATATAACTTGGGATCATAATCTAGATGAAGCACCAGAGAGAGCATGATTGGTTAGTTCTCTTCTCAAGATCTTCCCTGCTGGTGATTTTGGAATAGAATTGATGAATGTAACACGTCGAATCTTCTTGTATGGTGCAACCTACAACATCAAACAATAGTAGAAAATTAGATGTTTGCATTTTCTATATTGCATTAGTGCACTTTGTTTGATTAGATGTCCAGGTTTTTTTTTTTTTTTTTCCTTCCTTTTTCAGCCTCATGTTTGAACAGCGACCCACCAGCTCCAGCCTCACCTGCCCTTCCCAACTCTGGTGATATTATATGCGTACAAAGAGATTTAATAAATATAATAAGGGTAAGGACGGGTAAAACAGGGCGGGGAAGGAAAAGCGGAGCTTCTCACTTTCTTACAGGAGTGTGTTTCACTTGGAAGTTTGAAAGCATAATCCCGAATAGAACATCAGAGTTTTCCATGATAACTGAGATTATCAATAGTAAAACGATTTCTGGATTGGAGAAGGGGTATATTTGGTTGTGTTTCTAATTTTCAGAAACTTGCAGAAAATTTATTTTTGTGAACTGTTTCCAAATGCTATTTTGAAATTTTTTTTTCTTTCTAAACATTTATGAAATGTCAAAAAGATTCAAAAATTGTTTTCACTCAAATACATCCATATTTTGGGTATTGTATAAAAGTGACATATCTGAAAGAGCTTCTAAATTCGAAAGTTCGGTTTTTCTCCATTTGTGAAGCTTGAAAGCTAAGATATGACAATGCATGATGGAGTTTTGTTTTAGGACAAATGCAAAAAGCTACCAACATCAACCAGCACAAATGTAGTACTAAATAAAATCAAGGACAAATTATACCCGTGACCCTTGTAATTTATATCTTATATTGTATTGTCTCAATTTAGATCAATTGATAATATCTGTTAACAAATTAGATAGATATCAATGGAAAAATAGTTTATTTAAAAGGACGGGTATCCTTTTTAATTGGACGTCAATCACTTTGAGAAGAGTGAATGGATTATTTTGTCCCTTCATTTCAGTCCGATTTTTAAATGGGCATTATCAATTTGGACTACTTCACACTATATGAAATTTTTCAAGGAAAGTTTGCCAAATATTTCTAGAGGGTAATAGTAGAAGTAAAAACATGCCTGTCTTGCAATGAAATCAATAATTTGAGCTTCAGAGATATTGCTCCCAGGTTTTCTCACCACGAAGGCCATGGGAATCTGCCCAGCTTCCTCATCGGGATACCTAAGTTCAGATGACACATGTGGATTTAAAGCATGAAAAACAGATAATTTACCTTTTGCTAGCTATTATAAAGCTAATTGATATTAAAAAAACATTTGAAATAAGCAAACAAATAGTGAAACATCAAACATGTCACATTCAGTGTACAATTTTGGAGGGTGAACTTTCTGCTTCAGGTGCCTCGAATTCGACCCAAATGATATTTATTACCCATTGGGGACTCACACGATCCACTTAATAGGCAAATGGTGGGTTCTCCTGATGGTCTTAACTGGATATGTATTTGGGTCTATTTTGACCTGATTTGCTACTTTAAGATCTTTGTACATATTGGGTTATTTTCCAAAGTTGGTCAATCTTACTTACTTTGCTGAGCTAACCAACTAGGCAAAGATTGTCAAAAAATTCCAACCGAAGTAACACAAGTGCGCAATAGAACTACACCAAGGCAAAGTTCAAAAAGAATGTCTACTTGTTTTATTAATGCCGAGCTAAAAAAAAGAAAAAATTACAAGAAAGAATTAAAAATAGAACAATTTGACATTGGCTATGTTCCACAGTCTTAGCACAGCTCAGTCATCAATGTCTTCCAAGTGGTAAGGTCCTTTTCTTGCTAGCCCCACCACTTTGTATGGTCTTTCCCAATGGGGTCTCAATTTTCCGTCACCAGCAAGGTTTTGAAAAGCGGTTGCGGTCACCGTAATGGTTGCGGTGACGTGATAGCAATTACGGGGTGCAAAGGCCGTAGCGTAATGGTGGCAGTAACCGGAACCGTGATTTTTTTTTTTTTCCTTTTTGTACAATTTGAAGAAAACTTACCGATACGCATTTTTTTCTTTTCTTTTCAGAATCACATTTATTGGGGTCTAAAATAAATTTTGATCAATTTTTGTTAATTTTTAAGTATGATCAAATATATTTCATATTTTCAAATCACTATAAAATGAGTTTTTTACATTTTATTTCAGTAGTCAATGATTTTAAGAATAATTGATTTTAAATGTCTACAAATTATTTTTTACCAATACCTGAACTATATGAATAAAAAATCTTCACAATTATTAAATGAAAAGATTATAAAATAAAAATTATGCCATAAATTTATAAAAAAAAAAATTCATATAAGATTTTTTCTTTAGACTTGGATTAGTTGAGTAATTGTTCTTTTTTAGTAAACTTTTGTTTTTTTTTTTTTGGGAGAGGGGGGGGAGGGAAAGGAAGCTAGCTGTTCAGAATATTTTAAAAAGGAGTAACGGTCTCTAACGGACCGTTAGGGTATTACTACGACTGTTACGTAACATCAAAAACAGCCGTTATACATGTAAATTTTCGTCGCACCGCTATAGTGGCCGTAACGGGTGGTGATAACCACCGTAACCATTACATAACGGTTGCGGTAACTTTTTAAAACCTTGGTCACCAAGTACCAAAGTGTTCCCCATGACTTTGCATAAAACCCAATCACCAATCTTGAAGTGCCTTTGATGCACTGCCTTTTGTATTTTCTAGACAACTCTTGTTGATATGAAGCAATGTGGATCAGAGCTCTCTCTCTTTGTTCTTTTGCAAGGTCGAGCTCCAAGGTTATTGCCTCCCCATTCAAGTCTGGGTCAAAATTATTGCTTGTAATTATGAGAAGGCCAACCTCCAAAGGGATGACAGCCTCCATGCAGTACGCCAAGGCAAATGGTGTTTCCCCGACTGAATGCCTTGGGGTTATTCAGTAGGCCCATAAAATGTGGGTGAGCTCTTCAACCCATTTTCCTTTCGCCTTCTCTAACCTTTTCTTCAGGCCATCCAGGATCACCTTGTTTGATGCTTCGGCCTAACCATTGACTTGCGGATATGCCGGTGTGGAGTTATAGAACTCTATCTTGTGCTCTTCACAAAAGCCTCTGAAGATTCTTCTGTCAAATTGAGTGTAGTTGTCTAATATCAAAGCTTTGGGAATTCCAAACCGAGTTATGATGTTCTACCAAACAAACTTTTTGACGGCTTTTTCCTTGATGGATGCAAGTGCCTCCGCTTCAACCCACTTTGTGGAGTAGTCAGTCGCCGCGATGAAGAATTTTCTATTGCCCGGCATGGTTAAGAGTGGTCCCACTATGTCCAGGCCTCACATTGCAAAAGGCCAAGGGTTGGTCAGAGGTAAAAGTTCTCTGGCTGGTTGATGGATTTGATGCGCAAATTTCTAACACTTTTAGCATTTCCTGACATACTTCTCTACGTTTGTCTGCATGCATGGCCACCAATACTCTTGTGAGACAGCTCGGTAAGCCAAAGACCTCCCCCATTGATGACTTTCACATATTCCTTCATGAATTTCAAACAGGACGGCTTCAACCTTGCTGGGGTGTACACACTTCAAGTATGGCCCTTTGAATGACTTTTTATATAATGCTAGAGATGGGGATAGCCAGAACCGCTGTGACTTCACTCAGATTTTGTTCGCCTCCTTCTTGTCTTTTGGCAAGCTATGAAGCATGGACACGCCAGATTTCATGCCGTGGCGGTGTCTGACACGGGGGCACGCCGGGGACACGGGGACACATACGGGACACGCCATCCGGCGTGTCCCTTTAATTTAATTATTTTTTTTGCAGGGACACGGTGGAGACACGGCGGGGACACGCCTGTCCACGAAATTTTCACTTCTAATAGTGGGGAGGCCAACTTCCAAAGGGATTATCGCTTCCATGCCATAGGCCAAGGAAAAAGGCGTTTCGTCGGTCGACCGCCTAGGTGTAGTTCAGTAAGCCCATAAAACGTGGGGAAGTTCCTCAACCCATTTTCCTTTCATTTTTTCCAATCTCTTTTTCAGACCATCTAAGACTACTTTATTGGAGGCTTCAGCCTGGCCATTAGCTTGAGGGTACGCCAGTGTGGAGTTGTAGAATTCTATCTTGTGCTCTTCACAAAAATCCCTAAAGATTCTTCTATCAAATTAGGTGCCGTTGTCAGATATCAAAACTGTGGGAATTCTAAATCGAGTTATGATGTTCTATCAGACAAACTTTTTGACATCTTTTTCTTTGATGGATGCAAGCACTTCTGCCTCTATCCACTTTGTGAAGTAATCTGTCGCTGCAATAAAGAACTTTCTGTTGCCTGGCGCGGTTGGGAGTGGTCATATTATGTCTAAGTCCCATATTGCAAAAGGCCAAGGGCTGGTCAAAGGTAGAAGCTCTCTAGTTGGTTGATGGATTTGATACATGAACTTCTGACATTTCTCGTATTTCTTAACATACTTTTCTGCATCTACTTGCATGTATGGCCACCAATACTTTTGTGAAATAGCTCGGTAAGCCATAGATCTCCTCCTTTGGTGGCTTCCACAAATGCCTTTATGGATTTCGAACAAAAATTCCTTGACCTTGTTAGAATGGACACATTTCAAATACGGTCCTATGAAGGACTTTTTGTATAGTGCTAGATATGGGGAAAGCCGAAATCATTGTAACTTCACCCTAGTCTTATTGGCCTCTTTTCTATCTTCTGGCAGAATGCTATCTTTTAAGAACACGATGATAGGGTCCATCTAGGAAAGACTTGGCTCAGCGTAGAATACCTCGGCCACTTCAGGTTACTCGATGCTCAGTCTTGGGAGGAAGTCAACTAAAACAAGTGCGTGATAGAGGTGTTTACCATCGATACCAAACTAGCCAGTTCATCCGCCTTGTTATTTTCTTCTCGACCGATTTACTCTATCCTTACTATATCAAATTTCACAATTTCGTTCCTGACCAGCTCCTAATACTTGGTCATTCTATCATCCTTTGCCTCATACTCACCAGATATTTGGTTAACCACCAATTGGGAGTCGCTGTACACCATTAGCTCGGTAGCCTTCATCCGAAAGGTAGATTTCAAACCAACCAAGAGTGCTTCGTACTCCGTTTCATTATTGGATGTTGGAAACCCAAGTTTGATCGCTTGCTCAATAGTCAGGCCATCTGGCAAGATGAGGACTATTTCTAGTCCCGTTCCATGCCTATTAGAAGTTCCATCTACGAAAAGCTTCCACATCTCTCCTATGAACAACTTCCAACAAGTAAATGGGTCTAAAGATGCCTTGGGGTCTGGTACTTCAACTATATCCTCCAAGTCTTTGCCCACTGCTTGTTCATCGATCTCTTTGCTCGGTTGCCCTACCATTTCCCTTTTAGGCACATTATCGCAAATTGTGCTCGTCATTGCACGGCTTACTTCATCTCCCCCTGGCAATGTATTGTTGACCTCAGTGGGCGATGCAACCACTACTAGGCTTAACGGCACATTGCGCAATTCCTCCGCTTGAGATGGTAAGTTAGCTTGTTGCTAGGTAGTAGGGAGTTGCACTGTTCACCGCAGCTTTCCCCTCTATTTGTTCAGTTTCCTCGGTCAGGTCAACTGGGCAAACGGAATGACTTCTTGGAGCGAACTCCGCTACAAAGTCTGCTAACGCTAGGGCTTTTATTACTGTTTTAGGTTGAAACTTGATGTCAAACTGTCCCAACTTCACTGCCTACTTGAGTATCCTTATAAAAAAGTTCACCCCTTCAAATAGAGCCTTCAAAGGAAATGCGGTCAACACTACCACAGTATGCGCATGGAAATAGTGCGGCAACTTCCTAGATGCCATCATTAAAGCTAAGGCAAGCTTGTCTAATGGTAGCTATCTTGTTTCGGCACCCAGAATTGTCTTGCTCACATAAAAGATGGGCAAGTGTTGTATTCCTTCTGCGTGCACCAGAACTGCGCTAATAGCATGCTGGGAGACTGCGATGTACATGTAAAGCTCTTCTCCAGGTACTGGGGTTGCTAAGAGTAACAGAGAAGACAAATACTCCTTCAAGCTTTCCAGAACTTGGTCACACTCCTCGTCCCATTTGAACTTCGACTTAAACGCCTGGAAGAATGGTCTGCATCGGTCTAACGACCGACTTATGAACCTGTTCAGTGCGACGGCTAACCCTATCAGATGTTGTTTGGCCTTTCAAGTTCTTAAATGGCCTTGATTTAGGAAGGATTTGTTTCTATTCTGCGGTTGGTCACCAAGAAGCCTAGAAACTTGCCTGATCCTACGCTAAATGCACACTCCGACGTATTTAGCCGCAACTTATGAGTTTTCAAGATTTAGAACATCTCTACTAGGTCATTGAGATGGTCTGATTTATCTTTTGCTGTTGATCACCATGTCGTCAATGTAAGCCTCCATTATTCTACCTAACAATAGTGCAAACATCTTGGTGACTATTCGTTGAAACGTTACCCTTGCGTTTTTTAGGCCAAAGGGCATGACCTTGTAACAATACAACCCTCTTGGAGTTGTGAAGGACGTGATCTCCTGGTTTGGTTCATACACAACGATCTGATAATATCTGCGCTATGCATCTAGAAAGCTAAGAAGGTTGTGACCTGCAGTTAGATCCACCAACTGATCAATCATTGACAAAGGAAAGCTATCCTTTGGGCATGCTTTGCTGACCGCTTTGTAGTCCACGCAAACGGTCATTTGCCATTCTTTTTTGGCTGTGTTTGAGATCCACTTTGAATAATGGACTTCCTTGATCGCACTTGTTTCCAACAAGTTCCCCACTTCTTTGACCACTACTTCGGCAAGGTGTAAAGCCGACCAGCGAGTTCTTTGTATGACTGATTTGGCAGTAGGGTTGACGTTGAGTTGATGGCAGATGAAGTTTGGATCAATGCTAAGCATATCGTACGACATCCAGGCAAACACTTCAAGATCGGAGATCAAAAAGTCTATGATCTCCTTTCTCTCAGTGCTGGACAAAGATGAGCCGAGCAAGAACTTCTCTGGGTCGGTCTCATCAATCCTTACTTCTACCAAATCTTCCACGGCCTTCTGTTCAGCTATCCTGCCGACGTCTTGGAACATTTCTTTCTTCTCTAGCTCCTCAACCATTTGCACAAATCCTTTGGCAGCGTAACTGTCGTTCACTGTCACAAAACATTGCTTGGACGTGATTTGGTCTCCCAAGACCTCTTTAATTATCCCAGCTTCGTTTGGGAACCAGATTACTTGATGGTAGGTTGAAACTACCGCACGTATGACATGCAACCACTCTCTCCCAAGATGATGTTGTAAGTGGACGGGACTTTCAAAACCCAGAACTCCACTTATTTGACCATTGAGCCAGCTTTGACCGGCAGAATAATCTTGTCAACTGTCCATTTTGGCATAGAGTTGAAACCTACCAAGGGAGACGTGGCTAGCGCCAAGTCTCTGTCATCCAATTTCACATGAACCTCCTTGGTCAATCAAGATCCTCTTGATGTCGAAATTCTTGAAGCGTAAAGTAACCACCGACGCGTCGTTATGGGGGTTCTGCAACCTAGCTAAGTTATTATCAGGGATAGAAATTACGTTCTTCGCCTCTATTTTCCCTTTCTTTACAGTTGTTTGAACACTCAGCACCTCTCTCATATGCTCCGCCTTTTTTATCATCCTTCTGAGGTCGCAGACTTGCTCAAGCTTGATGATTCCATGGATTACATTAATCATGCCTTGAGGTGGACCATCTACTGGCATGCCGTCCGGCATGTTGCGGTCTTGGGGGGTTGGCCGAGCTCCCCCCCTCAATGTATCGGTCCATGTGGCCTGTTGCCACCAATTCTTCCAAATACTGCTTCAATGGTGTGCAGTCTTCAATTCAATGCCCAACTTCGTCGTAGAAAGTGCACCGATATCTGTCGTCATAACCCCTTTGCGCTTCTCCCAATTTGGCATGGACTTCTTGAAAACTGTCGTGATAGCAGTGCGAACCTTCAATTTCCTCGCTTTTGTGTCCTTATCATTTGGTGGACCGCCACGATTATTATAGTTTGGCCTTCCTCTCTTTCCAACCGTGTTAACCTTGCTCGAAGTCTTTTTGTCCGAGATCACTATTGTGCCGTACTTTGCCCTTGCTTTGGCGCCATCCTCCTCCACCCTTAAGTGTTTGTGCTGCACCATCTCCATTAAGGCTTCCATGGTAAGAGGGAGAGTTATTGTCATGGAATCCCTCGATCTATGCCTAACCGGCAAGCCACGCTTGTATTGGGCAATAGCTAGGTTGGTAGGGCATTCAGCGATTCGGTTGAATTTCTCTCAATACATGTTGTTGTAGGATTTCAGTGTCTCCTTCTCGTCCATGTCAATGGCGAGCAATTGATCGACTTCTACAGGCGTCTTGGTGTTTGTCTTAAACTTGGTGACAAACGCCTCTATAAACTGCGCCCAGAAGACAATGTTGCCTTGGGCAACCTCTCAAACCAGGTCAAGCCTAAATCCCCAAGGCCTTGATGGGAACAGGACGCACATCAAGGCGCCATTCTCTTGTGTATAGTCATCACTTGTCGAAAGTGGCTAAGGTATATGTATGGATCTGACTTCCAATCATAAATCGTGAACTTAGGCTGGTTAAAACCTAAAGGCAGAGGTGCGTTCTCTATCGCCAAGACAAACAGCGAACTCTGCAATCTTGCCAGTGCTCTGTCCGCTGGCTCGTAAGCAAGATGCGACATTGGCATTGCAACCTCGACGCTTCCATACGTCCTAGGAGTCAATCGCTGCAAAGTAGATACCCTCTGGGGTCCCTGCACCTAGGCAACTTCTCTTCTCCATGCCTTTTCTTCCAAAACAGTCTGTAGATCTTTCGACTTGGGCAACTCAGTGTATCGCGAGAATGTCTAATGAGTGTGCAAGGGTCGATAGCTGCTTCCCTCGGTGTATGATCTTTCAGACCTAGTCCTCTCAGACCTGGAGTAACGGGGTTCTAGAAGTCCTTGAATGAGTGTCGCCTGTCCGAAGGCTTCTATTCTCATAATATGTGGGCGTGGCATGCCTATCCTGATCCCCAGAACAGCGAGATTGCGTTCGCCCTTCGTGGATCTCCACCTTAGCCACACCTTTGCCTTTCACTTGGCGCTTCAAAGCCTCCATGTCTACCGCCATTCTTCTTATCAGTTCGTCTTGCTCCCTCACACGATCCTCTAGAACCTGGGTGTCTGTTTGGCGCCTTTGTCTATCTGAGCTTTGGGAACGGCGAGGACTCAAACTCCGCTTTTCTCATGCGCCCTTGTGAGGGTTCTGTCGTTGAGGGTCCAAGTCCGCCATGAGCGGAGTAGGAGGCAAATTGTCACGCCTCATGTTCCTTTCTGGCGTTTGGCCATCAATGGCAAATTGTGACAGATCTTCGTTGTGCACCATAAAATCTACTGAAGGAAAACTTGATCAAAAGGTAAGTTCTCTGAGTTTCCCACAGACGGCGCCAATTATATGGGTACGAAATAATCTTCACTCGTATAATCTTGCTGATCAAACTTGTGCCCCTCTAAACGCCATCGTAATACCTAAAATCACAAACGTGAGCGAGTCGATGGGTGTGTGCTAGAAACCCCTCCGATGCCTAAGTCAGCAAATAAACTGAAGAGACAAAAGCTCTGTGAATTCGGGAGTATGAATTGTCATACCTAAGATTAGGGTTTGGTTTAAGCTTTTGTAGATTCCGCATGGCACAATCCTGATTGGACTCTAACTCTCTTTATAGAGTCCTCCTAGGAATTACATTTCTAAAGGATAATGTTTATCTTCTGACACCCTCCTCACTGCAAGCCAAGTGAGATGGCACAACTCTTTGCTCGGCTTTTCGCCATACAACTGGACTATTTGTACCCTGTCCGCCATTGGCTTAACCGTGCTACACACAACACCTGCATGGCTTGTACGGCGCGCCACCATGCTAACATTACACGGCTCTTCTCTAGCTCGGTCAAACCTCCATTCTCATTCTGTTTGACCACTTTCCCTTGTAGCTCAGTCAAGATGTTGACCACCATTAGGAGATAGCTAAGTCCAAGAATATAGGCCTTATGTTAGTCCGATCAAACCCTTTCGACCGGTTCTATCCACTGTTCGGCCCACGCTAAGCTCTTCCCATGGCATAGCTCAGCCTAACTCGCAGGCTCGCAGCCCAAGCCTCAGTCATTTCCATCTAGCTCAGCCCAACTTGCTGCCCAAATTAACCTCTCAGGTTCTGAGATTATGATGATCTTATGAGCTTTCTATAATAGGGTTGTTGAGAGAGAAAGAGTCTACTCGTTGTGATCTCTACATCTATAGTGAAACTCTTTTGTCTCTTTTCACCCGTATACATAAATTGGATAAGAATCGAAACTAATCATGAATAAGTTGTAGGACATACATGGTGAAAGATGAGTTTTGAACTTCACAAGAGAAGCACACTACAGATAGATACAATGAAAATGTTCAAAAACCTATTAGACAGACCATCCGTAAAGATGAAGACACTAATGCTATGCTTAGTTTACTGGAATGAAAGTAGAATTAGAATGTAATGCTCATTCTTTAGCCTCCATGTGAATGATGATTGATGCTTGAATTTCACTCAGCAAGTGAAAACATATTTAAGTGCTATCTATAATATATATACACACACACACACATATATATATATATATATAGAGAGAGAGAGAGAGAGCAAGGCTTGTAAAGGGGATGTCGTGTAAAGATTGATGCATGAATTTAGCCTTCATTTTAAGTATGAGTTTTGTTTCATTTTGGTTCTTGATGTTTTCATTGTGTCAATTCAATCCTTAATGTATGAAAAGTATTTCGATTTAGTCTTCCAAGCCAACTCCGTCAATAAACACCGTTAAAATCAGCAATATGTAATTTTAGAGACTAAAATGACACAGCACATTTTAGGAACAAAATAGTGTAATTTTTTTAAGTGAGTTTTCACATTAATGACACAAATACTAAAATTGTAATTTTTTATGCAGATCAATAGAATTGCCAATATGAGACAGAGATACATACGGAATGACAGCAGCATCAGCAATTTCAGGATTCAATTGAAGCAATTGTTCCAACTCAACTGGGGGGACCTGCATTTCATTCCGAATCTTTAAAAGTTGAAAATTGTGAGGAAAAACCAAAAATCAAAAAGAAAAAAAAGAAACAATTTTAGCACCTGATAAGCCTTGTACTTAATCAATTCCTTTAATCTATCAACAATGTAGAGGAATCCATGAGAATCAAAGTAACAGAGATCACCAGTCTTCAACCAGCCCTCTTGATCCAATGTTGCAGCAGTTGCTTCATCATCACCAACATAACCTACAATTGCACAACATTTCTATTTTACCAAATAAGAATCACCGCAAGAAATTGTGAATCATTTGATATCATTATTAGTTTCAAAACAAAAACACAGAAAAAAAATGTGTGGTGAGTTGCTAGAGATTGTGGCTGCCAACAGAAACACGAATAAATGATGGCGCCGAATGCATCACCTTTCATTACTGTAGGTCCTCGTAACCATAACTCCCCTCGTTGCCCTGGAGGCAAGGCCGCTCCAGTTGTAGGATCGACTATCTTGGCTTCCATGTTCTCGGCTAGGCGGCCAACAGATCCAAACTGCTTAGATTCATCTGGCCCTGTCATCCCTGTGGCACCTCCACCAGTCTCAGTTAGACCATATCCCTAAAACATAACAAAAAGTAAATTAGTGACAAAAATACGAAATTGGTAATCACTAAGGAGATACGATCACAAAAAATGAATCATATATTAAAGTTCTTATTATTCAGATAAAGTCTGGTCTACAATACAAACATGAGCTCCTTATATGGACAGAAGAGAGTTATATATTGGTTTGTCTTGTTGGGATTCATTTCATAGCCACAAATGTAAACGGAAGCACAACTATGCATACATTAAAAAGAAAAATAATTACACATAAATTTACGTAGTTCGACACCAATTGTCTGTGCTCACAGACGAGAGATAATTCACTATATAAATAAAGTAGAGAATTCATGTGAGATAGATAGCCAAACTCACACTACTACTCGAACTCCATGCTCAATGCTACTTGAGTTTTTACTTACCCAAATACCTCATATTATTTTAGTTTAGTCCTTACCTACCTTGATGCCTCACACCATTTTTTCTCACACCTCTTGCATCTCTATTTCTTCCTCCACTACTCTATCAATCTCACTGAAAATCTATACCCTATGACTATTTATATTAGTTTATTCATATGAATTCTAATTCCATATAATTAAGTAACTAAATTCTCAAAATTAAATTCCTTAAAGATATGTATGGATCATGAATTTGGATACCTAAATCTATGATTCAAAAACAGTCGAATAAATTCTAGATTTTACTCTGCTAACATAGGCTATGTTTGGCATGTGATTTTGGGGCTATATTAGTCAAAAAAGACAAAATAGATCAGTCAATAAGATAAAATGTCACATAATTGTACTTTTTATATTGTTAACGAATTTAAAAGTAAGGCAAAATGAAAATTTTATATTATTTTTTATCTTGATTTTTGAAAAAGAATTAATATTTTGAGATAATAAAAAATAAAATAAGGGACTAATATTTTGGAATAGATGGAGTATTAGATTGATTTATATATTAGAGTTTCGCTTAGAGAGTGGATTGATTTTGTTAACTATTTTAACTTGGGTTAACAAGACTTGTTTAAGATGGATTTTTTATTTTTATGATTTCTGTGAAAAAAAAAGTAAAATAATTATAATTATAATTTAAATATTAATATTAATATTTTTTAAAAAATATATTATCAAATGGTAATTTTAAAAAATTAATTTTTTTAAAATGTAATAATTATATTATTAAAAAAAATTAAATTATTTAAAAGGGACTATTATTTTGAAACGGAGACTAATATATCACATGGGTGACCGACGCCATACAACAAAACACCATTATTCACTCCACACGGTTTACTGGTACAATTAATACGGTTGTACAAATTGCAGATTCCACCACACGTGGTTTCAATTCAATAATACATAAAAAGTTGATTTTTTGGCTTTTTTTAGCTTATTTTATCTTTTTGTGAGTAAAAAATGTAAGAGGTGATAAGAGCCAAAATAGGTAAAAAGCTAAAATCTTGCGTTTTTAGCTCTTATCACCTCTCATATTTTTTACTCACAAAAAGACAAAATAGGCTAAAAAAGTCAAAAAACCAACTTTTTATCAACTTTTCAAAACAAACAGAGAATTCTAGTTATGAGATGTGTACTTTTAGTTATATTACATTCTTTTTATGTTATGATAAAACAAAAAATGTAGTTATAATATTATTTTAATTATGATTTATAATATTTTTGATTATATTTTATGTAATGTTTGGTTTTAATTTTTTTAATTATAATTCAAAAAGTATAAAATTATGTCATTTTTTTTTTAGTCATAAGGTATATATGATACACACATTTTAAAAGGTGTATATCATAGTATTTCCCAACATCAACACCCATATAATAGGATCGCGCGGAGAATAAGGATTCATGTAGCCGACTCCATTTGATGGGATTTAAAGCTTGGTTTGGTTTGGTTATATAGTAGGTTTTATTACACAGCAATATTGCAGACCCCCAGTTGGGGCAGACCCCCACCACCCCCACATACACGTGCGGGACAGGGAGAGAATGAAAACACAAAAAAAAAAAAAAAAATTTTGAGCCAATCAGCACCCAGTGGGGGTGTTGGGGTCTCCCCCAGTGGGGGTCTCCCCCATTTTCCTTTATTATATTCCATTAATTTCAACAATTCAATTATTGTACAAAAAAAAATATCAATTAAGACTCACCTTGCACAATGCACACACATCAAGTGATCTATATTACTTAATGAATTTCAACCTTTTTTTTTTTCTTTTTTTTACACATTGGCGTGAATTTATAAAATGTTTTGCATGTATGGAAAATCCACAATTGTTTGTAATGATGAGTTTCATTGTTTTCTAGCCATAATTAGTTTTAATAATGCACATAATAATATTTGTTATTTGACTCAGCATGGGAAAAAAAATCAAAAAAATTCATCCCAAAGTGCTAGAGACCTAAAAAAAAAATTATCAAAAATTTTATGCAATTCTCAGACGGGTGGATCCCATATGATGTAAATTTCACACCTATGTAAATCTTTGATATAATTTTTATGATTTTTTTAAAGATAAATTACATTGACTCCCTTAAAATTTGAAAAAAAATATAATAAGCCCAACAAATTTAACATAATTATATTGAATTCCCTTAAGGTTTTAATTCATATATACTTAATCCCTTTTTCATTCAAAATTCGTTAGTCGTATAAATGAAAAAATTATATTGTCATATCTTTTACATTGAAACTTATATTTTACAGTATATATCTTTGTGTTTTCACACCATATGCATTAGTTTTGGTCTCTTTAACCTTACTAAAAACAAAGTAGCATAATTATGTCAAAATTGTGAAATTTGATGTATATTTTCAAATCTCAAATGAGGTTAGACCTCCCTTCAAGTTTAGAGATACAATAAATTCAATAGTTTGACATAATTACATTAAACTCTATTAAGATTTTAATTTATATAATACTTAGCCCAATTTTCATTAATAATTTGTTAGTTGTATAGATAAAAAAAAATGATATTGTCATCTTTTTTATACAAAAATGTGTTCTTTATGTTGTTTATTTTTGTGTTTTCATACTATCTGAATTAGTTTCAGTCCATTTAACCTTACTAAAAGAAAAACTAATATAATTATATCAAAACTATATAGCTTACTATATTTTTTTAAAAATAATTCACCAAACAAAGTCTTAGCATTGCTCATATAAAAATGGAGAATTCTATACGTATCATTTACCATATGCGCCCTTAGTTACGTCATTTACTTCTTTAGTTATAACTAATTTTTTAATTATGATATTAGTTTGAGATCTTTGGTTATGCCTGTTTAGCTATGCCTTTTCTTTTCTTTTCTTTTTTTATTTTTAGTTAGGACTTAGAAAATATGGAGTTATACAATTTTTTTTCTTGTAATTATAAGATGCATAGTCTTTATGAAAAATTATTGGTTCGTCTTGGGGTACTATATGATCATACCTTAGGTCAATCATAAATTCTCATACTTTTTATATTTTTCAATCACTTAATATAAAATTATAAATTTTATCCTTTTTACTAATCAGAACACACCTCAGACACCATGTAATTATGTCCTATGACCAACGAATAACTTCATGCCCTAAGACCAACGTATAACTTCTCTTTCCCCATTAAAATATTGAATAAAGTTTCGGACTCCCAGTGGGGGTGCTGGGGTCTGCTGTGATTGGCCCAAAAAATAATTTTTTTTTTTTTTTATTTCAGCCAACTCCAAACCGACACGTGGCACTGAGGGTCACTGGGGTCCCTAACATTGCTGTAAAATATTATTGACCTTCTAAACAAGTCTTTTTCAACCTAAACAGCTTATTTTGACGCTAAAAAATGCCAGTCCGAGTCTGCTACCAAAATGGATGACAAGGGAATGTGGGCCCAGAACAAACAAAAGTCATAATTAAATATTGTTTCATAAATAAACTTACTCTCCGTTTATTTTAACGGCAGCAAAATATTTTCTACATTTTAAAAAACGTTTTGTTATGTTTGATTGTGACTTGAACAAATGTGCTAATAGGAGTGGAAGGGGTAATATTGAGTGGTAATATTAAATTTGTGATAATATTTGTAATAGGAGTGGAAGGGGTAATACTGCTAATAGGAGTGGTAATATTTGTGATAGCAGTGGAAAGGGGAGTAATGGCCGTGGTAGAGATGTACTCGCAGTGATAAAACTTTGCACGAGAAAAATAAAAAAATATTCGGTCATTTTGTGAATCTAAACTGTTCTAATTTCAAAGTCTTAAAACTGTTCAAATTTTAAAGTCAGTCTTAACAACATTGACTGTTTATTTTTTTTATTTTTAAAAAAATACTTGTGATATATTTTATAAAGAAAATGTTAGAAACATTAACGCTGTGTTTGGTTGGGAGATTTGAAGAGAGATTTGGAAAGAGAAAATGAAAAGTTAGATGAAATGTGAATAAAATATATTTATATTTCACATAATTTCACACATTTTTTTCTTTTCCCTTTCCATTTCCAAATCCCCCAACTAAACACAGTATAAATGAATTATCAAATTTTTTATCAAGCCTCTCACACGGATGTAAAATCCACATATGTGATTTGTGTGAGTCCCACACTTAAGTGAGAGATTTGATAACTCATTTTGAGTTTCTAACATAACTCATTTTACAAACACGTGACTATTAACATTGGATTAATTTATTCAGGAGGCCTCAAAGTTGATAATTTGAATCATAATCAACGTAAGGTGGATTCAAATAATAGATATTTTCAATAAAGATGTACATTCCGGCATGTAGGATTTATTATGAATTATTACAAATTTCGTTTTGATAATTTAAATTATTTAATTTATTAAATATTATGTCTTGTTTGGTATGAAACACTTTTAACTTAAAAGTTAAAAAGTTATTATAAAAAATAAAAAGTTTATAACTTATATCCAAAAATCAAAATTTCATTTTTTCTTTATATTTTACATATTTTTTTGTAAAAAATAAATTGTCATTTCAAACATACTAATTTTTTTATCTCATATTTTAGTTAAAAAATCAAAAAATTACTAAAATAGTATATTTTCAAGCCTTAATGTATATATTTTGTAAGTAATTCAATAAATTAATCGCAACATATTCAATTTATCAAGTTTGTTATAAAAAATAGATAACTTGTATTTTTGAAAATAAATAAATTATTTTTTATAATAAATACGATATATTAAATATGTTATAACAACAATGATTCATCCCACTAAAAACATCACCACTAATAGCACTAATGCATTAAAAAAGTAAAAAAAAAAAAAAAAAAAACACAATTCCAAGACCAAAACATCACATCATTAATGGCGGGACCCACTGCCACCTAATTAGTGGGAGCACTTAGTGCTCCCAAACATTTTTCTATGTTATAAATATGACATGGATTTAATTTTTTTTATTAATATTGACAAAATAAATAATTTGAATAATGGAGTTATAATGGACCACACAAGGAGAGTGTCCTGTTTGGTAGAGTTGTGGAAAAGTGCTTATAACTTATACTTAAACAGTTTATAGCTTATAACTATGAACATAAGCTGATTTCTAACTTATAAATTAAGCATCTCCTGCCCCACTCAAAGAATGAGCTGATTTTTGACTTTCAAAAAGCTATAAGTTATATGTTAAATTAAACACATCAAAATAACTTAAATTAAGTTAGAAGCTGAAATAAGCACCTTTTAAGCTGGATTAAACAGGGCTTATGGACAGGATAGATTCCACCTGTCAAAACAGTGTGTAAATTAATTACCTGCACAATCTCAACATTGGGGAACTTCGCCGTGAACCTCTGGGAAACCTCCTTCCCAAGCGGCGCGCCACCGCATCCAAGCAACCGAAGAGATGTCAGATTGTACTTCGCCGCCACCTCCGACTTCGCCAGGGCCACCACGAGCGGCGGCGACACCGACATATAATTCACCTTATACTCCTCCACCGCCCTCAACATCCCCTCGAAATCGAACCTCTCCATCAAAACCAGAGTTTCTCCCATTGCCGCCGCCGCAATCATCATGAAAAATCCAAACACATGAAACAACGGCAAAATCATCAGCGACACCGCCGGTTCCGCAGCCGCCGCATTCTCTTCGATTTCGATGCGGCTTTGGTGGTGAATTCCGGCGATTAAAGCGATAAAGTTCCGGTGCGTCAACTCGACGCCCTTGACTCGGCCCGTCGTTCCCGAAGAATAAAGTATCGCCGCCGAGTCTGACTGGTTGACATTCACGACTCGGTTAGGTTTACAGTCGCTTTCAATTACCGAGTCAGAAATCATGGATTCAAACTCGGGCGAGTCGAGCAGGACGGTACCGAGTGGGAGAGAGAAGGGGAGGTTGTGAGAGGATGTTGCGAAGGCGATGACGGGGTTGCTGAGTCGAATGAGGTGAGTTAACTCGGACTGAGTGGAGAGGGGATTGGCGGGAGAGATTGTGATGCCGAGGGAGAGGAGAGAGAAGTAGAGGACTGGGAGGTGGAGAGAGGTTGGGGAGAGGATAAGAGCGACGTCGTTTTTGGAGAGAGATGGGAATGAGGCTTGGAGAGAAAGAGATAGGGATTTGGTTTGACGGAGGAAGTCAGAGTAAAGGAGGCGGCGGCCGGTGGCGAAGTCGATGAGAAAGGGGGTGGTGGTTGAAGTGGAGGACTGCTGGAGGAGAGAGAGGGTTGCTGAGTCGAATGAGGTGAGTTAATTCGGACTGAGTGGAGAGGGGATTGGCGGGAGAGATTGTGATGCCGAGGGAGAGGAGAGAGAAGTAGAGGACTGGGAGGTGGAGAGAGGTTGGGGAGAGGATAAGAGCGACTTTGTTTTTGGAGAGAGATGGGAATGAGGCTTGGAGAGAAAGAGATAGGGATTTTGTTTGACGGAGGAAGTCAGAGTAGAGGAGGCGGCGGCCGGTGGCGAAGTCGATGAGAAAGGGGGTGGTGGTTGAAGAGGAGGAGTGCTGGAGGAGAGAGAGTGTGTAGGAGGAGAGAGAGAGGGGTATGGTGGGAGGAGGGAGAGGGACTGGTGGTCTTAGGCTGTGGAAGGTGGTAGTTTGTGAGCAGAAGCCATTGCAAGGGTCGATCGTGTGTTTTTCTGGTGGAGTTTCCGCCATGGAAATGCTGTTGGCCGACTTCTAGAGAGAAAAACAATTGTGTGTGTGTGTGTGTGTGAGAGAGAGAGAGAGAGAGAGAGAGAAAGAAGGACTGAGATCCGCTTGGTTGTTTTTGGCTTTTTAGGCATTGTTTGGTTTTCATTTTTCAAAAATTTTTGAGAAAAATTCTTTACGAATAAGTTTTCAAAAGTAATTAAACTAAATAAATTTTTTTAATTTTTTTTTTAAAACTTGTTTGATTTACAAGTTTCTCAAATAAATCTATTTCTCATACACATCAAATCAATCACTTTTTTTAAAATTCTTTCTCAAAATAATTTTTCAAAACATCTTTTGAAAAAAATCAAACCAAATAACTTTTCATACTTTTTATCTCTAAAACTCATCTCCCAAATTCATTGTGAAATATGATTTTTTCTTCCCACATCTTATTTTAATAATTTTTTATAAATAAATATATAAATCAAAGTTTTTTAATTATAATTTTTTCTTTTTTACATTTATTTATATAAAATGTTAATTAAGCGCCGGTCAATTAACAATGGGAGCATACATGTTACTTTATGATATTTATGTGTAAAAAAAAAAGACGGTAAATTCATTTTGTGGATTGAATTGTCCTTTTTGAGCTTGTGAGACTTGCATTAGTTTATGATATTTTTTAAGAAAAATTAGTCTAAGATTCTTATCTCATTTTTAGTAATGGAAGAGATTCACAATATTATTTAATGATGTCTAAAGTCCCTCAACTCCCGACATCCATATATCACTTAGAAATTTGATCCCTCAAATCAAGCTGTCTCTCACTATCTCTCTCTACTCTTCTCTCTCCGACGAACTCTACCTCCATCGCCGGAGTTCATTGTCTTCTCTAACTCTCTCTCTTCCGTCAAACGAAGCTCAAAGCATCCTAGAGAAGGAAAAGCAATGAAGGAAAAACTGGTCTCTAGTGGCGCCGCCATTAGTCTCTGAATTCTTCACCGAATTGAAGCTATTCAACTCTGATTTCTTTAGTTTTCTCTCCGTAACTTGCGGATCTAATTTTAGTACCAGAAATTTGCATGGAAATCCGTCGGAGATCGACGAGGATCTTCATAGCCGTCACCATCAAAGCCGATGATGGGAGTGATCTTCACAGCAGTGGTTACGTTGATCCATCAAAGAAGTGGATATCTAGCAAAGCTGTTATGATCGTTCTGTTAATATGTGGTCTTCTCACAACTCTGGCATCTACTGCTTCTATTAGAGTATGTCTTGTGAGTGTTGGCTAATAATATAGTTTGTATAATCTAATCTAGGAACATGGAATACACAGATTGCATCTTGATATCATTGATTGAACTATTTTTGGGACAAACATGATCTTAGTTTACTAAATCACTATAAATTTGTAATTTATTGCAGGGTGCATTCACAAGGCTTCATTAGTATTCAGAAGCAAAAGAGAAGCAATAATTATAAACAAACCAGAGAATTTGGAAAAGATGAGAAATGAAGTTGGAAAAGAAGAGAGAATTGTTATTTTCTCTAGTTTGATCAATTTTCTCTAGTTGAATCAAAACACAATTATCTCTGGCATGTTTAATTTTCTCTGTGATGATCATTTTTCTCTAGATTTCTCTGGTTTGAATCCAGAATTTCTCTAGAAGAGAAGAGAGAACTGCAATTTTCTCTGGTTTGATCAATTTTTTTTGGATGAGTCAAAAAATAATTTTCTTTGACATGTTTAATTTTCTCTGTGATGTTCAATTTCCTTTGGATTCTTCTGGTTTTGAATTTCTCTGTAAGAGAATAGAGAACTGTAATTTTCTCTGGTTTGATCAATTTTCTTTGGTTGAGTCAAAACACAATTTTCTCTGTCTTGAATAATTTTCTCTGTGATGTTAGAATCCTGTGACAAAAGGGGACAAAAGAGAAATTTTTCAGTGCATTTTGTTGAGTGATGTAAGTTAGATTTATTTTTTTTTATTGAAGTAGGATCAATATTAGTTGTGAGTTATTTTTAAAAGATTGTGAATTAGATTGTCACAATGTTGGTATTTACCTCCACAATTGGTACTAGTTTTTGAGTTGTAGGTTGCAAAAATTTGAACCCGGAGAAATTTCAATTTTCTCTGGGTTTGGGAAGTCCAAAGTTTCTCAATTTTCTCTGGTTTGAAACCACCACTCAGACTACCGCTACATTCATCAAAGGCAGTGTGGTATAGATATCATACATAGATGAATTGTAGGAAAAGAGTAAGCTTGAAGAGATTTGTAAACTAGAGAAAATAGTGAAGAGATCTAAATAATAATGAAGCCTTGTGAATTTTCTCTCGAGAGTGAGAAGTCTAGAGAAATTTGGAGAGAATTTCTCTGGAGAATGGGAAATCTAGAGAAAGTCTAGAGAAATTTGGAAAGAATTTCTCTGGAGAGTTGGAAGTCCATAGAGAGAATTTCTCAAGATATGGTAAAAGCAATAGTAGTGAATGAGATGATCTTAAAATAGTAGAATAAACTATTACTAGTGAATAGTGTGTGGTAGTAATATATTTAAGGCATCAGAATTAAATGTCCCTTAATAGAGTTCAATGCAAAGAACAGGCTTCTAGCTAACTCAAGGCTTTTCCATATATAAATCTTTTTGCATATACATTTGTCTTTTATATGTGGTTGATTATCATTAGTAGCTACCTCTGTCATACCGTAATGAGCCATTCAATTCTAAACTTACATGTCAAGCTTGGCAAGTGCAAAAACAGGTTCCAATTTTTCAAAATTTATCAAAATATTGCTTATTAACAATAAAATGGGCAAGGGAAAGTCCAGAGAAAGTCCAGAGAAATTTGGAAAGAATTTTTCACAAATTTCTCTAGACAACTCTCCAGAAAAATTTGGAGAGAATTTCTCTGGAGAGAATTTCTTTGGGAAGTTCAGAGAATTTCTCTGGATTGAAATTTCTCCGGATCAATGTGTGAGGAACCTTAAACATTATGAAAATATTGGATGTCATTTATGCTATAAAATCTTAATACCAAGGATCTTAAAAAAAAAATCCCCTATTTTTTATTGTTTGTAAAAAAATAAATAATAATTGCTATTTAAAAAATAAATCATTCATATTTTAAAAGATAAATATAATCAATTATGTGATTATGATTATCAAATTGAGTTAATTATTTTTTCTATATAATTTATATTCGAATTATGAAGGTGGGGTGAGTCCGGATCCTCGGCCGCACAAGCCTGCGGCCCTTCCTGCCGCACTACAAAACGATGCCATTTTGTTATTTTTATTTTATTTTTTTTTCTCCTTTGTTTCTTATTTTGCTTTCCCCTTTCCTTTTTTGAACCATAGACAGATCGACGGAGGCGATGAATCTGGACGAGAGTGTCATGACCCAAACCCGCCCCTATGAGTTTAGTATCGCAACCGGCCAGTAATTCGTGATTACCAAAGGCCTGCTTAACAGTAAAAACAGTAATACAGAGTAGAGGGGCTGGCGGAAGCCAAAACAGTAAATAAAAGATGTCCAATGAGCTGTGATAGTCTGAATGCAAAAAGACTTTTATAAACAAGTCACATTCCTAACCAAAACACATTTACATATCAGATATATATAACGTACAAGTTAGGAATTCAATCCTTATGCCACAATTGTACAGTACGAGTCTATAACATTTATTACAGAACAAAGATAAAGGGTAAGACTGAGACACCCCAAAACAGTCTTAGCTTGGACAGACTCGGAACCTCGCAGTGAGGCACAACGGTTGGCTTGACAAAACTGGAGCTTAACCTGACGCTCCTAGCATCGATCCGGTACCTGAACACCTACATATATATATAAACAGTGAGCTAAAGCCCAGTGAATAACAGTTGTGTAAAGAGGTTAAAAATGAATGTCCTTTCAGTATTTAAACAGTCATATCGATCACTTAGAAACCATAGTAGTCATAGGTGGTACATCCAATAGCAAAACAGTACAATAGGTCTTAACAGACCAAACAGTCAGTTGATGGCCATCATAACAATAAACAGTAGTAGTTCCAAACATGGGAACCGACAGAGATCTCTGTGACAGTAGTAGTAACAGTACAGTAACAGTAAATTACTATAGATACCACGAGTACAATTTACAAATAGGACAAACATTCATTCATTAAACAATAACGTTTCAGTAAGCAGAATAGTTAATCATTCAGAAAATAATCATAATTGAACATATCTTTACAACATTGTTACTCACAAAGCACTAGGCTACAGATAGGCTAGTGAGCGTCCTCGGATGCCAACCCTACACAGTTACAAAATGAACACACACTAAGTTACACGCTTGGGATTAATAACTCGTCCCTTAACTAGACTCGGTGTGGTTCTACGTCAATATCCTCATTAAGATGCCTTAAACTAGGCCTAGGAATGCCTAGGATGGAATGAGGATGCAAAGATGTACTTTAAAACATTTTTCAAAATTTGCTGAAAACAGGGGTCTCGTTCGAGCGTGGCTTTCTTCGCTCGAGCGAGCTTATCAAAACAGAGGGGTCGCTCGAGCATAAACTCCTTCGCTCGAGCGGTCTGTAAAAATGCAAAAGTACTGGTTGTTGAAAATCTCCGCTCGATGCTCGCTCGAACGTGAGACACATCCTTCGCTCGAGCGTAGGTCTCGTCGCTCGAGCGTGCGTCTGCGTGCACCAAAAACCTGAGAGCTTGCAATTCACGCTCAAGCCAACATTCCGTCGCTCGAACGGACCTCTAAACACACAGGTGCTCACTCAAGTGTGGAATCCTTCGCTCGAGCGAGGAAGCCAAATTCTGGGTTTTCCAGATTTGCCTTCAAAACTCAAACCAAGCATTCAACACATCAAAACTCAACCTCTTGGGCCAATTTTATGGAAAACACTTGAAAACTCATGGTATAACATATTTTTGAAGATCAATTTGTAAAATCAAGCCCAAAGGTAAGCCAATTTGAACACAAATTCAAATGTAAATATGAAGAACAATGCAAAATCATACATGCAAGAGTTCCCTAGAACTCTAATGCCCCAAAGCATGATCAAATGTAAGTTTTAGCTTAAGAACATGGTGAATTCATGGACCTCTACTAAA